GCATTCCTGGCCTCCGAGATCCCGGCAGCCTTCCTTGCGCTGAGGATGATGACCAAGCAGCTCGCCATAGAGTTCCATCTGCAGCAGTTCACGGCCGGGGACAGGCCATGGCACCCGAGGCAGCAAGAGGCAGGAGGCCAAGGGCGGATGATGCTCTAGGAACAGTCCTTCCGGGGGATGGGGCGGAATCACCTTGCTGAGGGCCCTCCCAAGAGCAAGGCACATTAAACAGTGCCGAGATCTCAATGATGACCAAGCAGCTCGCCATAGAGTTCCATCTGCAGCAGTTCACGGCCGGGGACAGGCCATGGCACCCGAGGCAGCAAGAGGCAGGAGGCCAAGGGCGGATGATGCTCTAGGAACAGTCCTTCCGGGGGATGGGGCGGAATCACCTTGCTGAGGGCCCTCCCAAGAGCAAGGCACATTAAACAGTGCCGAGATCTCAGGTGCAGCCCCGTGTCGTGTCTGTCGCAGCAGGGCCATGCTGGGGCCTGCGGGATTCCCTGAGCACAGGCTGGATTAACAGTGGGTGCCCACGGGGCACTCCACGTGCGGGGCAGCTCAGCCGGCTCCCTGCGGCAGAACCCCAACGGGGACAGGGGGTTACGGGGCTCCGCGGTGCTCGAGCTCTCCTGGGACCTGCGCTTGTCTTCGAGGAATGAGGATCCTGACAGGATGGAGGAGCCAATCCAGGGTAGGAGCTGCTGGGCTGCCCTCTGCATGCAGGGACCAGGCAAGGTGGGTGCCCTGGGCTGCCACCTTAGGCCCAGCTCTCAAAGCCTGAGCAGAGGCCCAGACATGGGGGCTGCACAGCCAATGCTGCAACACACGCAGGGTTGCAAGCAAAAGCAAGGGGTGCATGTGTTGTTGGAGGAAAACTGGCCAGACACCCCTCCCGAGCAAGAGCAGCCTCCTGAAATGTGCAACTGCGGGGCAGCCCCACAGTCAGCCAGACTGGCTGCAGTAACTGCAGCAAGTCCTGTGTCCCAGCACCCGTGACACCATGGGGGAACCTTGTGTCCCCTTGCTGGGGAGAAGGAAACACTTTGGATTGTCGCAGGGATGTTCCATGCTGCAGAACAAGGTGCTCAGGAAGCTCCCACGACACTCTGCAAAAGGCTGGGATCCCACCTGGAGGCTGTGCCCTGCCCTAGGCCGTGGTTACAAGTGGCTCTGGCCCTGGAGGGATGGGAGCAGCAGGACGGCACAATATGGGGTGGGCACCTCAGTACCTTCCTGACTCTTGGAATCAGCTGCCCTCCCTGTCTGGGGCAAAGGACATGAGGTCCCCAAGAAAAGAGCCGTGCCGCAAAACTTCAGCACAGCTCCGCAAAGGGCTAGAGACAAAGCAGAGCTACCTCCCACTGTCTGAGCAGCTTTATTGCATTTTGTTACTTGCCAATGTGAAATCAAGCCTCCAGGACAAACTAGACAGCGAAGCAGCGCAAAGCGCTTTAAGCCTTTTGCATTGCTTACAGACCAGCCGTGCTGCCAGCGACAGCAGCCGCTGCAGCAGCACTGCAGGACCTGCCCCGGGGCCTGGCCGCTCTGCGCGGGCGGCTGCAGCGCTCTGCACTGCTGGCGCTGGGCCGCAGCGGGCCGGCTCCGTGCCGCTTTCGCCAGGACCTGCTGTTGCTGCGGGTGTTCCTCCAGGCAGGGCAGAGCCCGGCAGTGCACACACAGGCCCAGAGGGCTAGTGGTCGCCTCCAGCTGCAGCTCACGTTGCTTCCACCGCATCTTCCTCCATGGAAGAGGGTCTAGCGCTGAAAAACCCCGCTGCTCTGGCCAAGCCATCATGGCTCTGCTGTGACCTCTGCCTTATCTTTTGGGGGTTTTGCCTGCAAAATGCAGAGGGTCACTGGTTACTCTGTTTAGCATGCTAGAGACTTGGATAGATGGCGTGGTCAGGTGGGCCATGATGACCAGGCAATATTTGCAGCCCCGTGTGCTCAGCTCTGCTGAGTCCCAGGAATCCTGCTCTTATGGGAAGGCTGCATGAAGGACCTCTGAAAGGGCCACCCAACATACACGGCTATGACTGTGACACCTGGGCTTGGCAGTATCACACTGACTAGTATCACACAGGCCAGCAAAACACACTGCTGATCTAGGATATGAACACTGACAAGGTTCCAATACACCATCTAAAACAGATGCTTTTTTTTTTTTTTTTTTTTGACCCAGGTCTGGCCAGATTCAGTCCTAAGAGAGTGAGTTTTATTGTGAAGTTGGTACAGGCAAGAAAGGTTTAAAATAGGGAGTTTCCCTAAGCAGGAGACTCAGGGAAGCTTCATTCCTTTTCAGTTTGAGCTCAAGGGGCTCTCTCCCTTCGAGCTCCCTGTTGTATAAAGGAAAACTGAAATCAGGTGGCTTTTCCCTCAAACTGGACCACATCTGGTTCACTCTCTTCCACTCACTCATTTGTTGACTAAACTTATGAGAGTTTAATTTCTATGTCAGGTCCAGTGAAGTTGGTCAATGATGTTAGAGGGAGGAGAGATTCACTCTGCTTGGGCATCCCCAGATGAGAGGTCTTGGGAAATGTGTTTTAAACAAAAGGCAGAATAGCCAGATCACCCCACAGAAGTGCCCTGCAACCTCAGCTCTCTGAACTGGCCCTGCAGCTTCTCCTTACCTCCTCAAACTTCTCTTTCCAATAGAAGTCAGCCTTTGCATCCAGGTAGAGCAGAACCAGGTCACACACCACGGTGACCTAGACAGGGACACATGCAGCACAGCAGTCAGGAGTAGCTCCGTCGGCGGTGAGACTGCGTGCACGAGAGCCAAGACCTCAGCCCACAGCACCCATCCAAGCTGCCCAGCCCAGCATCCCAAGTCCACCCTGTCCTGGAGCTCAACTTCACCATCTGGTTAGAGCTAAGGGGGAGCTTTCCACCCTTTCCTGCCCTCCAGGCAGCCCCACAGGCCCTCTGAGGCCCATGTGCAGCTCGAGAAGTTAGTTGTGACCATCTGAGCTGCAGAGCAGGGACCGAGGGTGCAGGCTGGTGGCCTGCAGCACTGCTGTCACAGCCTCACCAGGCAGCGGGGTGAGCAGCGACCTGGAATGCCATGTCTGTTTGAAAAGCCAGGGAAGAAAAAGGACATTAGGGGATGTGTCCTCTTCTGCTAGGGAAACAGAGCAACCAGCAGCACCTTGACAGTGCTCACTTGTCCCGCCTGGCTACAGAGCAAATGTGTGGCACCCGCAGGGCAGACAAAGACACGTGGCTTCCATGGCAAGTCCTGACCCTGACACCTCTCCAGATCCTTGCTCTGGTCGTGTGGTCACTGCTCATGATCACAAACAGGAGCTAACGCTCGTGCCAGTCTCCTGGCAAGTCCCCAGCTGGCACTAGGTAAGTGGCAAGCCCCAGCACATGGATCAGAGGAAAAGGGCACATCTGAAAGCACTCACAGCACCCAGGAGCGCGACACCGGTGCCGAGGCTCACGGCAAGGGGAACGATGCCGAATTTCCCAGCCTGCTGAAAAACAGAGGGGGAAGAGGAAGGACAGAGAGCAGGTACCAGCAGTGAGAGGGTTGTGACAGAAAGTGCAGCTTGCCTAAGGTCTGCTGTCCTGGGCAAAGGTTAAGCGCTGGATGGAACAAGGGTCATTTCTTCATGCTCAGTTTTAGGCACTTGGCTGTTCTCACGTTCAAAGAGGGAAATCGGGCAGCTCATAGCTCAGCGGCAGAGGAGCCACCTCCTACTCCTACGGCATGGCTGGAGACTCCGTCCCACCTCAAAGCTCCAGATGGAGCTTTGGAAAGCTCCATGGAATTACACCCTACAGTACAGCAAACACCTTTCTGTTGTGATATGCCTTCCTCGCTACCCAAATGAGTCTGGTGGAGAGAGAAGGGTCTTTTGGTGCTGCTTTCTCCTGCTCTATGCCTCCCTTATCCTGGTGTGTACCCTGTCCTGCTTTTCAAGCTTGTCTTCCTTCAGGTGAAAAGACCAGTTATGGAAAGCCCAGCTATGGAATATCTCTTGGGGCAGCGAGTCCTCTCCGTGCAGGCCCCATCTTGCACAGTATTTAGTGATGCTGCACACAGTAGCATCTGCCATGATTATGCTCATGCCTTCCTCCCCAGAGATGCAATTACTAAAGAAAGGATTAATTGTTTGAGTTCAAAGGTGTTCAGGTTGCTCTTCAGTATATTCCCAGCCAACACTGGTCGCTCAGAGGTGCCCTAAGCCACTCTGACCAGACATCTCATGGTATGTGACCATGTCAGATGCTTGACAAACAGAGGAAGCCTCAGGCCATTGCCAAGAACTTCCATTTCAAATGGGACAGACTATTTCTTCCTGCTCTCTATGGCGCCCCAATCTGCTCTGAGGAAAGCAAAGCTCTGGAAAGAGGTGAGGAGCTCTTCGGGGTACGAAGGAAAAATGCCTGAAGAAGGCAAAGGAGCCTCAGGAGACAGCAGAGCAGTGAGGAACAAGTTCTGATGAGAAGGGAGATGGGACCATGTGTTTGGGGACCTCATGGGACACAGTACCTCGCCATGCACAGAAATGTCAAAGCGGATTCCATAGAGCTTCAGCAGGCTCCGGTAGTGCCTTTTTTGGGGATCCCAGTAGTAGGTGGCAGTTCTAAGGAAGACACAAAGGACAAGGCTCAGAAAGACTCACAGTGATGGACAAGGCCTGTCAGTGTCCCTGGCTGCCGTGGACACCAGGTGCCTGTGCACACTCGGTTTCCTCCAGCAGGCAGGGACAAGGACGATGCACATGCTGGGTGGCAGCAGCAGGGCCTCTGCTCCTTGCATCATCTTCCCTTTAGGAGCGCCGAGATCTCCAACGATCCCTGTGCGAGTGCCTGTTCCAGGGAGCTGTGTGGCTGCTCTCCCAGCCCGGTTGGGGTCCGCACCTGAAATTGTAGTTCCTGTCCTGCAGCTGGAAGGAGTACTGAGGCTGGCACTGGGCAGCAGGGTGGTCCAGATCACAGTCCCACTTGATGTCAACTCCAATGCAGCCCCCCTGCAGCACATCAACACACGTTTCGTTCAAGGAGAAGCAAAGGACTGGACATTTGTTAGGTTCTTTGCTGTTCAAGCGTTCACAGCTACTGATGTAGATAGATTGGGTTATTCCCTTAGTAGTTCAGGGGACAATCCCACCTTGTCCCTGCCCATGCCCTAGGGGAAGTTCCAGTCACCTTCACATTTCAAAAGGAAAAGCAAATACCAGCAACGCCAGATTGCCAAAGGTCTCTCCAGCTGCCTCCACCATGTCGCGGATGCGGAAGACTGGGCAGGATGGGTTGGTAAACGGATCATACCTGCAGCTCTTGAAATAGGTGGAATCATTGGTTTGCAGAGTGTTGTCCCTGGAACAAGAGACAGCAACTACTGTCACAAGAACTGGGATGTGGGAGGTCACAGGACACTGCTGCATGGTGCAATAGGACAACCTCCTGCTGCTCCCGCGATCCCAAAGCAGCAGGGCCGCTACTGCTCCTGCTGAGAAAGGCCCCTCGTTGCCTCTCCTCATGTCGCTACAGAGCGGGACCACACGGGCTGCAGAGAGCCCGGGGCTGTCTCTAGGTCTGGTCACCTCCTTCTAGAACTGCCTGCATCAGGGCTTGGTCTATCCCTCCTTTCCCAGTCTCCTCCATCCTGGGACACCCATCAGCCCAAGGACATGCATTTAATACAAGCATCCTCTGGTCCTCACGTTGCAGGAGGGTGGAGGGAAGTTGGCCCACAGATGGAGTCGTCACCCTTTCCAACACCTCCCAGCACAGCCTGCCATGCTCCTTTCTCTCCCAATTCCTCTGCATTTGGGTGTCATCCTTTTCCTTCCTGCACCTCCTCCCCACAGCATCAGTCACTGCTGTGAGACATGACCCCGCTCCAGAGTTACTGCTCTAGGGGAGTTGAGGTCCCCGACAGAGGAAAGCAGCTCAATTAACAGGACTCAAACCATGAGTTTACAGTACTCTGGACATGTGGAAACACAGCAATCATCCTCGCTGGGGATTTCACAGTCCCAACACTTTTACCACTACAGACATAGTCAGAAAGGCCACATTCTCCCTGAATGCATCACTGAAATCTTAACTGAGAGCCAAGACTCTCCTTGATGGGATCCTGATTCTTGGACATCTAGGCCACTCAGCATCAGAGCAGACAAGCTCAGCACAGATGCTGGACCAGGCTGCATGCACAGTTCCAGTAGAAGGAGCTTCATACTTACTTGGAGAAGTTAAATTTGGTGAAGTTCACAGTATTTTTTATAAAAAGAGTAAAATTCTCCGCCTCAGCCAGAAGAGGTTTCCTGGAAAACAATCACTGATGAACTCAAATATTTGTACAGTGGCCAAGGTATAGCCCCCTGCCTTGCAATCTTTTCCATGACTCTGAGACTTAAACTACTGCGGTTATCTACAAGAAATGCTCTTGCCTGAAGTTCTCTGGGCTTAACTGAGCAGTAGACCAAAGTGAAGGACCTCTTTGAGCTCCACTGACTCCTTGCTGGCCAGCAGAACAAGAACACCGACTGCACACAGAGAACCAACAACCTCAGAGCCTGTTCAGACACCGGCTGTCCCCCGACCCTGGACCTTACCTGGGCAGGGTGCCGTTCTCCACCGGACACCAGCTGTAGATCTCGCAGGTAGAATGGCTGGTGTTGTACTTCACACATTTCCCAGTTTTTATCCCTGGAAAAGAGGACAGTGCATCTCACTTACACATTGCACCTCCTCCGGGGCTGCTCCGTCACCTCCCTCCTGTACAATGCCCTGGCCATGGTCCTGCTTGCTGCTCCGGCCTTCTCAGGAAACACAAACACCATCTTTAGGGTTTTCCCCTCCCCAAAACTCCTCTGGGAAGCCCTCCCCCAAGGCCAACAGCAGAGGCTGTTTTACTAAACCGAAGGGCTGTTGGTGGCCATGGTCCCTCAGGCAGCTCAGCACCCGCCTGTGCAGCCCCGCAGCTCCTGCTGCTGAAGCCACCCGCTCCCTGGCCGGGAATGTCACAAGCTGGGGGGATCCGGCCTGCCAAGCTTGGGCAACCGACCTTCTAAAGCTCCTCCTTTCTAATATTAATCAGTGTGAAATAAAGCAGGTTTTATTAAAAAAGGAAACCCTGCCAGTCGCAAAGAACATTGGTTTGGATTTCAGCAACCAACATGAAAAACAACCAATCTCTTTATTTGCTGCTGACAGGAGCTTTTGCCATTAGGACCAACTTTCCCTGCAGTGACAGGTTGCTTTACGTTTTTGGCCAAGAATAATCTCTGCAGAGCCCTTCAACACACGCTTACAAATATGCTGAATTCTGCCAGTTTAAGCATCTCTGTGCATCTGTTTGTTAGCAAGCACGGGCACATAAAAATGTTATTTATCTTAGCAAAACATCCAGTACCATTGCCATGAACCACTGGGTTTCCCATGGGACAGTCTGCATCTTCTCTGCAAATCCCATCGAGAACAGAGGGGCTCTAATAGAGAGCAATGAGAAAGCAAGAGGGAGAGAGGGCGAGGAAGAGGAGAGCGAGAGGGCGAGGAAGAGGAGAGCGAGAGGGCAGCACTGTTACTTGACTGCACAACACCTTAAAAGCCACGAGGTCATTTACCCACGTTTCTGTGTGGCTGCTCCTATCTGCACGTCCCAGTCACTTACTGCAGCATCCATCACATCCAAAGCAGCATCCTGGGCACCCTCCGGGCACGGGGAGAGGCTCCTCCGCAGGGCAGTCCCTCTCCCACGTCTCCGCTCCCCTCCGTGCTGCCCGCGGCAGAGGAAGCCCCGGCTGCGGGCTCAGAACAACCCTTTTAGCTGGAACTGGCAAAATCCCGACTTGGGTTCTGGAGCTCTCAACGCGGAGCCCAGCCAACCTTGGGAAGCACCACAGGGTTCCCCTGGCAGAAGGCTGCAAAGGCCTAAACACAGTGTAACACAAGCTCGAAAGGAGAAATTAAAGACTTCACCCTCATGCTGCGGGCCACGTGCAGCTTGCAGGACCCACAGCAGGGCTGGAAGAAACACTCATTTGTGAGAGGACTTCCTCTTCCTGCATCATATCCACACGTCAAGGATTCAGCCTATAGAAGGACCCTGAAAACAGGTATTTGCAGATAAGTGCGGCAGTCCCTTCCCAAGGGGAAAAAAATAAGAAACTCGCTGACTAGCAGTGCTGCTTCTCCAGCACAGACACCTCTGGCTGTTCAGGGCATGCAAGCTGCAAACCTATGGACAAATCCTTGTTTTGAATCCTGTGATGGTGCTGCAGGAAGCCTAAATCTGGTCAAGATGGTTTCATCATGCCTCCCTACTACCTCTTAGTGGGAATCCACTTCGGAAATCTGTCTGTGATGACATTCTCCACAGAAATGACTGGAGCTAGTTCACACATGCCATGAATCCACCGCGAGAGAGGCAAAAGAGATTAGACTCGGTTAAAAGGCATCTTAGGGCTCTGGATCGGTGCTTCTAGAGCTCTCCAACCCATAGCTGTCTTCATTGTGAAAGGGTATAGGAATCTGGAAAAAAAGCAGGAGCAGCATATTTTTCTAGGAGCCGATGCAAGAACTGCAGATTTGGGACAGGACGGAAATTTGTGAGTTCACTGGCATTTAGGAGGGTGTTTGCAGGGTGATTATTCTGAAACCTTATCAGAAACAGTTGCTGATTTCTAGCTCTCAACAGCTGTGCAGCCTCAGCTGTTCCACTTGCTCTCAGCATCTGCTAGAAGAGCCGGGAAGCAAAGCAAGGCTACTTGGAGGAAAACATCGGGAGCATCACCCTGTGAGCAAGGAGGGATGAGGCTTCTCCCAAGATCCAAAACCTGCCCATGCTCCAAGGTCAGGGCCCTGTGTTGCTGGGGGCTGACAGCAGCGACACTCACTGCCAGCAGCAGCAGCTGGTCCCAACGGGCTGGGCACACACGGATGTGCTGGAGACCGTCATTTATGAGCAATGTCCCCTGCGGCCCACGGGCAGCATCTGCTCAGAGCCCCACTGACCGGCAAACGCTTCCCACCTCTTCATCCTCCTTGGATCATCTCCACTAACCTCCGCGGCTCCTCGCAAACAGACACAGGGGATTTTCAGTTGTTCAAAGTCTTCAGAATCAAGACTGAACGTCCTCCTAGGAGGGCTGCCTTAGCAGTGCCACAGATCTGTGCTCAAGGCAGACAGCAGCTGCTAAATCAACCTGGCCTGTGTTATGTTCAGACCAGGGCCACTACCCTAATGGTCCCCTTTGGACAGTGCCAACTGCAACATCACCCAGGAATGTTTGTGCAGGCAGATGCTTATGGATGAATTGGAACTTTTTGTATAACTTGCCCTAGACCCAGCCAGCACCGCTGCCTGGTGTCCCCAGCACAGAACACGCTGATAACTGAACATCAAAGCTGCCTGTGTTGCTCAACCTCCAAGACTTCCCAAACAGCCATTTCAGCTAGTGCCCGAGAGCCAGGCACGGAGCAGCTACCGGGGAGCAGCACTGAGCAAAGGCCCAAGACATGCGATAGCACTATAATGAGATGGAAATAGTCTGATTTCTCTGTCTTCTTACCTTGCCTCAAAGGCAAAACAAACACCCAGAGATGCCAGGGACAGCCTGTGTCACAGCCCTGAAACGCTTTATGGGGCATTTTCTTTCTGCTGGGAGTGTTTACGCCAGTACCAGTGGTTTAGGAATTCTGAACATTTCAAGAAGGACCATTTGTATCATTTTCTCAGAGCAGCAAATACTGCTCCTCTTCCCCCAGCTGCAGCCTGTGTTCAGGCAGCAGCCCAGCCTGGGAGCCTGCAGCACAACAGCAAGCTGGGAGGCAGCATCGGGACCACCGAAAGCCCGAGGGACCATGAGGACAAACAGTGCTTGGCTCTGGCACCAGGGGCCAATATTGGTTTAGCTTAAAACCCATTTGCTGCTGTTTGCCAAGCAGTGCTCGGTCTGCAGGAGCTCAGGCAGGCAGCTGGCCAGAATCCAGCCTCAGTGGGGAGATTTCTCTCAGGAAACACGTACCACTAAGTGTCTGCTGACGGGAAGCTGCCCGTACACCCTGCTTCGCTTCTCCTAAAAGGAGGCCCTAGGACGGAGAGTGCTAGTCCTACGTGAAGGAGAGAGAAAGGAAACGCGACCCAGGCGTCCACAGAGCTTGGGTGAAACTGGGTGTGTGAAAAAGCAACAGGAAAATTGGCAAAACAGAGGAAAGCGAATGGTACACTGAGTTCAGAGACCATAGATATAGAGAGTATATAGATAGCATATAGATGGCATATAGATAAACAGAAAGGCAATAGCAAGTGCTGAGGAGACGGGATTGCTGATGGCTCTAAGGCCACAACACAGGGTGTAACAACAGGGCAACACAGCTCAAACTCTCCTGAGCTGCCTTTAACCCCAACTACTAGGAAAGCACCAACGATCCTGCAGTTTTACCACCCCTCAAGAGCCCCAGAGACTTGAGGAGGACCCAACAGCTAGTGCCCCTTGTCCTTCGGGCTACCACGGGCAATTCTGGCCACTCCACTTGGACACATAGGCCTTGCACATGGAGCAATGACAATGAGGGAAACTAGTTGTTTTCCTTCTTTTTCTTTTCTTTTTTTCTTTTTTTTTTAATAGAAATTTCTCCTCCCTTCTGCCTGGCCTTGCACTGAGTTTTGCTGCACAGCTGCTATTCTGCTACAAAAATAGGCACATTAGTATGCTTTAAAAAATTAATCCCATCACAACAGAGCTAACAAACAGCACAGCACTATTTACCTCAGGACAGGTGCCTTGGGTTTGCTTCATTGTACTAATGAAGTTGGTCACCAGAAAAAATGTATTTTCTCCCTAGGAGGCAGGAAAAAAAAACCACACACACAACAAAACACTTTAGTTTTTAATTTACACTGTAATTTCCCTCCCCCCCCACCCAGGAGCAGAACAAACTGACCTTCAATCCCAGTCTGTATTTCCTTTTGTTTTAGATTTTATTTATTTATGTACTTATTTTTGGCAGTAGAGATAGTGAAGCAGACACAATTCCTTTCATAAAGTGCTATAAGCAACTTCACTCGTTTACTACAAAATTTGTCATTCCACTGACCAAAACGTGGGTTAAACGGCAAGTTGTACCCATGAAAACTGTCCCCTGTGGGAGGAAGAACAACCAGCCGGAGCATCCGCAGCACCAGGGAGCAGCAGGGCGGGCAGAGCGCCTGACTCGGCCTCCCGGTTCACAAGTGGGATGGTGGCAGCGGGGCACGGAGCGAGGCTGGGAGCAGGGCAACGGGCACTTCCATAAAGGATGTGGGCACTTCCATAAAGGATATGGGCACCACTGGGCACTTCCAGAGAGGATATGGGCACTGCTAGGCACTTCCATAAGGGATGTGGGCACTTCCATAAAGGATATGGGCACCACTGGGCACTTCCAGAGAGGATATGGGCACTGCTAGGCACTTCCATAAAGGATGTGGGCACTTCCATAAAGGATATGGGCACCACTGGGCACTTCCAGAGAGGATATGGGCACTGCTAGGCACTTCCATAACGGATGCGGGCACTGCTGGGCACCTCCCTTTGCCTCTTCTGGGCCGGCAGGAGATGGGGCGCAAGGGACCCCTTACTCCGTGCTGGTTTCAGGAGCCCTGTGCATCCAGGAGCCACCTCCACCCCAGGGAGAGGGACGCAGGTCCCTGCTGCGTGACTTGGCATCAGGGGCTCGTCCAGGGGACGCAGGGGACGGGCCAGATCCGTCCAAGCTGGGGACGGGCCTCGGGGGCAGAGGAGCCCTCGGAGGCCCCACAGTGGCCCCGGGGGGGGCCGGGGCGCAGGGGGACCCCCGCGGGG